GTTTGAAAATAATGCAGGAAAATGCGGGCGGAAAATTGCATGCTTTGCTTTTCTTTTCGATTGCCTTTGAGGAGACAATATTTAGTTTTTAAAAGACAGGAAATTAATATATGTAAAGCGAAATAAGTTTTAATGAAAAAAATAAAACAAAAATAAATAAAACACATGCATAGAGTATAATAAAATAAAATATTTGTAATAAAAAAATGTAATTTAAAAAAGTTTACGCGAAACGAATTAAAGCGGAACAAAACTTAAATTAAAAAACTTAACAAAATTTTAGAAAAAAATTAAATTTAACAGAATAAAATAATATATAAAATAAATTTTAAAACTAAATTCTGTTAAAATAAATTAAATTTTCCGAATATTCGATTAAAAAATTCGGATATCAAATTTTTGAATTAGCGGTATTAACCAGATATCCGGATAGTCCCAGGGCTAATTAAGTTCAATATAGTTCTGTTCCACTCAATTGATTTTGATTAAATTCAAATAATTAAACTCATTTCATTCAGCTCAATTAATTTAAATTCAGTTGAATAATTTTAATTAAATTCAGTTCGCTTCAATTAATTAAATTCAATTCTGTTCCACTAAACTCAATGCAGAACATTTTGAATTCAATTAAATTCGATTCAATTGAATTCAATGCAGTCAAATCAATAACTTTCTAATCAAATAAATTAAGTCAATTCAATCAAATTCATACCAATTCAAAAAGATAAATGATAATAAAATTGATGAAAAAAATAATACAAAATTATGACAAATTAAATTAAATTGAAATGATCCTACTTAATTGAATTTAATTCATTGTAGTCACTTCATTTTAACTAACTCAATTTTGTTGCATTCGATTCAATCAATAAAGTCAGCTAATTCAGTTCAAATGAATTTAACTGAATGCAACTAACTTCAATGAACTCAGTTCAAAACCATTCAATTAAACTGATAAAACTTGATTCTATCCAACTCAATTCAGATAAATTCAATTGAATTAAATTAGATTAAAAATTAACTAAATAAATTTAATCAAAATAAACAAAATCATATATACAAAATTAAACAAAATTAAGTAAAATAAATTGAAATAAATTAATCTAAAGTAAATTAAATAATAGTGAACTCAATTAAAAATAATATTAAATTTCATTTAATTCCCCAAGTTCAAGTCGCAAAAAATTCGCTACAAAATAAATTCACTTCAAATTCTCTTATTAAAGTCGCTTCAATATGAATTTTACAGCAAACTTGAAAGCACACTTCCAGGCGCACTGGAAGCGCTTTTGTGTGTACAACACGAAACACATCCAGCGACTGAGGGGTGGTGGCAAAAGAAGTCGCCACTATTCTTGAATGAGTGTGTGTGTGTGTGTGTGTTTGTGTGTACACATTACGTCCTTGTTTGCGTGTTGCACTGTGCCAAATACGAGTAAGTATTTTCCTTTTGCTGCAACGCGGCACAACGTTCGTACGGTCGTGCGCTTGCTGCTGGCCCCGCAAAACAGCTGCTGCTGCCCAGCTAATAATTTACAACAAATTGCAAAGGAGTTTCTCATTGAAGCGTTTTTAATATTTGACATTATTTTTATAAAGTTTAATTTTTTTGGTGAATTGCTAAAAAGCCAAAAGACATTCGGAAAATTTTGGTTATCGACAAAAGTTGTTCATTCGGAAAAGCACACTGGCGCAACGCAGTCCAGAGAGTGCAGTCGCGCACAGCTGTGACTTTCTGCTTCCAGGCTCGGTGTTCGGTAGCAATTAATTCAGAACAAAAAAAAAAGTGCTGTGCGTTGAAGTGCAACGATGGGTGTGTGTGTGGTGTGTATTCGTGTGTGTAAGTGTATGTGTGCGCGCGTGTGACAGTGAACTAAAAATCGATTATCAATACGAATGATGCGCTCATTGTTGTTGCTTTAGCGCACTTCGTACCAACAACCAACACCAACTACCGCTGCCGACGTCATTTTGGTATGGTAGATTGCAGTTGCGGCCGCCGCACCGCCACACCGCCACACCGCCGAATCGCAGTTACCCTCAGCCACATCTCGCTTTTATCCACAAACGTTTTACTATTGCATACTGCAAGGCGCAAAAGAGATGCTTCGCATTTTCAACGTCTTCGGCGGTCACAATTCCACCATTTCCAATTATTTTGATATAATGTCCCATTCCATAGACTGGAGTACAATTTAGCACTATTGGATTTTGCCAACGGCTTGTTGTTGTTGCTGCTGCTGCTGCTGGTATTGTTGGAGGAGCGCGCGCATCGCAGCGCATTGCATTGCATTGTACAGCAGGCAGCGTTAGTTGTTGTTGCTGCATTTGTGAGTGCTGGCAGGATTTATGCACGTATGTATGTATGCATGTGCGAGGCATGTATCCATAACCACCGCCACCCGATTGCGTGGCCGTTCCAGCTGCCGAACACCAATAAGCGTATAGAATGAACGCAAATGCGAAGACGCGAACATCCTTGTGCAACAGCGAACAGGCAAAGGAAGTGGCAGTGACAGTGGCAGTGCAAAAACTATAGATTGCAATTCAGCAGCAACAGCAAAAGTATTTAAAAAAAAATAATCAACTTACTTGAATTCTTCAAAATTATTGCTGATAAGATTCTATGAATATTTGGGAAAAGTGCAACAGCAGGCGGAACTCGAATTTGTGCATTCGAAATATGAATTGCTTTGGACTTAAAGCAGTGCAAGTGCATAGTAAATACATATACATATGTACATAAATATGTATGTATATCGCTGGTGTAAAATAATCATTGCAACGCTGCTAAAACCGAAAAGGCAAATTTTCGAACAGCGCAAGTTATTGAGCTGAAGAAGTGAAAAATTATTAAAGGAAATAAGAAAGAAAAAAAAAAACAAAACACAGAGGAAAGTGGAAGTGAAATTTCGCAACATTTTAGACTGCAGTTGCATTTTTTCATATACAAGCAAACATATGCATACACAAACACTCCACCCGCCCACGCGAACCAACAGCAAGGCAGCATAAATAAAAAGTCAGCAATTCGCATTAAGCAATTTATGTATAAAATTTATTTAAAATCCAAGTGAAAAACAAAAAAAAAAAAAACAATAAGCAAAAACAAAAACAACGTACAGTTTAAATGTAAACTGCAACAAAAAAAGCACTAACTGCAGCAATCGTCGATGAACTATCGGTATCGGTGAATCGATTGCTAATTTATTTTTTTTTAATCGTTTTCGTGGTATGTGAGGCGTCGTTGTTCTTAAGTGCACTTAAAAGGCTGATTTTTTCTTATTTTGATGTTGTGCTTCTACACTCGAATAGACTCGTTTAATATCACAAAAAAAACCACGCAAAAAAAAACAAAAAAATTCTATTACACGAAGTAGCAAAATTTAAAGGTTTAAATAGAAAATTAACACACATATGATTGGCGAAACTTTTAATTTACTTTTAAGTGAAGCAAAAAAAAATCTGGAAAACATACAGCAAATAAGTTGAGTACAGTAAAAACCGTGAATATTAGCTGTTTTAACAAAACAAAAACGTGCAATAGAGAATAAGTGTAACTGCATAAATCGAGCAATACACTTTTCACTTCACGGAAGTGAGGTTAAGTTGAGGAGGAAAACAGTCATGTACAGAAGTGTGCAAAAAAATTGAGCATCTCAACCAACGAACGCTTATTTCAAAGAGCGCAAAGGCTTACAGAGAGAGCCAAGCACGAGAAAAAATAAAGTTTACGGTAATAAAAATAATAGTAGGCAGCAATAAAAAAGCAATTACAATATTTTATGCTATATAGTACATATTATACATATGTATATGAGAATTTTCATAAAAAGTGTGAAAGAGTCTGTTTGTTGGTGACCATTCTAGCAACAAGCAGAGCGCAGTTTTAGTCTTCGTCGGCATTCTAAGAGAATAAAATATAAAAAAAATCATGAATACGCTTTTCAAAGAACAAAATTGTGCAATAATTGATTTCAGATAAGATATTAAAGACAAATTATACTTCCATGCACTTTAATACGGGCAATGCTTTCACGATCATTTTCAGCGACTTTTATTGAAATTGTTAAAAATCAACGTTAATTTATAGCTACTTCGAACTTGCACTTTATTATACACCACTTTTGCAACTTTACTTTATATAGTTGGCCCAAAATAATCATACAATTTTTGTGTTTGAATAACTTTTTTACTAAATAAAAAAAATTATTTTGAGTGATGGAAATATTTTTTTGGACCCTTACAATTTTTTCTGTTAAGTAAAAAAGACATTCCGCAAGATTTCCTGTGATAACTGTGCGCTAGAGTGTTAACCAAATAAAAAACAGACCCTTTAGCATGAAAAACTCATGTGTGATCATACATACATAGTTGAAGTACAGTAGACTCGCGTTAATTTGACCAGCAGTAAAATTAGGCCGTTAATGATTTGGCCAACTTCAAGTTATTAGATATGTATATAGTTAATTAAATTTATGATTGAGGTTAATCATGTTATGTATGTAACATACATATGTACAAACATATATGTAGTTGTAAATTTTTTTGTGCCTTCTCAATAAAAATTTTGGCAGCTGTTTCTCTGAGAAAGGGTCTCTGGGAGAGGGTTAAAAAACTCTGGAGAATAATCATTTACCGGATTAGGATATTCTTAGACCAACACCTCTATTTTGAGTGTCGACTAGTAGTAGATAAACCACTATTAGTCGATTATCGATTACCGATGGTATTTCCAACATCCAAAATACCATGGAAATGCGATAATCGAATAATACTATTAGGGAGCAAATCTTTATACAAAGAACGTAAAAGTTTAAATATAATTATGTAAAAACAAATACATATATCCCCTTGAAATATGCAATTACTTTTTACAAAAATTGGTATTAAGAAGCCATGAATATTGTTCACATTATAGCGAGTCTACTGTATTTTATTCAAACTATATTAATAATTGCGTGTTTAAACATGCAAATGAAATTGCTTTATAGCTATACAAACTGCGAACATTTTAGTAAAACAAAAAGTGAATGCTGCAACTGGGAGCAGTAATAAAATTTGAAAATAGACTAATAGCTAGTTTGACGAAAGGAATTGAAGTGAAAAATGATTTTTTAATTTGAATTTAATATGGATACTGAGAGGGGAAAAAATCATTTTTCACGTAAAATTGTTTCGGGAAACCGGCGATAATAATTTAAAAAAATCTTATTTTGTACGCAGCAGCTGAATGTAAGCGTTATAATTAACACAAATACCATAAACAGTATACGTATATAGCTATTGCTACCAACAACAAAAAACTAAAAAATTTCGACTAGTGCTTTTGGGTCGGACGTTACGAGAGTTATGAAAAATATTCGAATAACCACAAAATTTAATCAGAAATCGAAAAACAAAATTAAAAAAGAAGCTCGTGAATCTTAACATTTCAATCCTCTCAGTGTTGCATTCTTACCCAAACTGCCAGCAAAAAAGTGTAAAAAAAGTAAAATATTAAACGAACAGTTAAAATAAGCTCAGATACTCGTTAATTGTACTTCATATTACTAAACGAAATCAAAGGATCTCTAAAAATATATACCATTCACCAAAAAATCTATTCTAGTTATATCAACACTCTTACGCATCTGAGCAACTCTGTGTAAACGTAGAATAACGCATTACAACACCAATATCTCACGTTATATCTAACGGTTTTCATAAAAGGTGACTACGGTACTGAAACTTTATATAAAAAGGTAAAGTGCGAAAATTAAGTAACCAAATGCTGTTAAAAAAAAAACATAAAATTCATTAGTCAACTGCTTATTTATATACATAAGTATTTAATCTCGCCAAAACGCTGTCACCTACTCTAAAAAACGAAAAATATATAGAACATATTCAATGCACCGTTATATCCAGTTATAAAAAAAAACGTATCTATAATTCATAATTACCCCTTAATGGATGTCGCTAAAGCAACTGTGAAACATCAAATGAAAAATTTATGAAAATGAAAAGCAAAAACCAAAAACCAAATCGTTTCTACCAAAACACCATCAACATCTGGCGTTTTTCATGCAACTTTTCGCATATGTGTACATACATACAAACAACATATTTAAACGCACAAGTGTTTATACAAATGCGTGAACGCGTTGCGTATAGGCAAATGTAAACATACATATGTACATACATACATACGTAGATATGTAAAAGTGCAACTTTCTTGAGAAGTGCATGTAAACAAAAGATTGCAACACTTACAGTGGGTGGTGAGACGCCTCTTTGCTCTAAACTAAACACCGCCGGAGGGAAGGCAAATTTCGCTGTTGAAGGAAAAGTGGAGAAAAGCACAACTAAAAAATATCAAAACAAAAACAAAAATACAGTGGAAGTATTTATGGAAATTTAATAGTTGCTGATCAGAAATTTATTAGAAAAAAACTGTCGAAGTGACTTAAAAAGCGAGAAATTCCAACAACTTCGTAAATTTTAAGCACGCTTCGTGACACGTTCGCACTCTCGCTACCGAAGCAAAGTAGTTTTCACAACAAAATGTACATACACACATTTTAAGTTCGTTTAAACTCACGAATCGTGCAATTACGAAATAAAGATTGAAAGAAAACACATGAGTAAACAAAATCCAGTTTGCATTTTTAAGCAATAAAAAAAGATTTGATATTCAAATAGACTGATTTGAGCTAAATGGCATACAAATATGAATCACGAAACGAATAAAGGAAAGTTTTGCAAGTCTACAAGCAAATGTAAATGAGTAGATCACGAAACACTCACGAATTAAAGCAAGTCTACTGAGCCTACAAGGAGAAACAAGTGAATAACGGTTAGGAATCGATAAAAAACGTGATTTTTTAAACCAAAATCTGTAATCACGCACGCGTGTCAATAGGACTTGGATTAATTAAAAAGCTGAAATGTAAAAAGCTAAAATTGTCGTTATATAACCAAATCACGAAAAAATCACGAACATATGAAAACAACAACACATTAATAAAAACATGTGCACACAATCACTCACGTGAGTACTTAAATATTTATACGCAGTAGTCACGAATCTCCAAATACGCAAAAAAGCAGTAAACATAAGTAAAATAAATGTAACCATTACTTAAAGCTTTAAGCTTTTGAAAAAAAAAAATTAAAGAAGCACTCATGAAAGTGCAAAACACATACGGGAGATTTGCAATTCCATTGACAATTGGAAAATTTTTAAACTCACGAAATACTCACGCATGGATTTAAAATATAAATATTTCATTTTTGATAACGAAATCTAAAAAGTGGATACCGAACACATTTGTGTACACTAAATAGAAAAAAATCACACTCACGAAAAAATAACGATTTTCAAAAAGCGTCAGCATAAGCATAAAACTTGTTCGAAATCAAACTTAAACGCAAGCAAAGTTAGCAAGTAATACCAACTGGAAATATTCAAAGCTCACGAAAGACTCATGCACAGATTTGGGATAAAAACTTTCAATTTTGATAAAGAAGTGTAAAGAGTGAATAAAAAACACTCACAAGACTCATGAAAAGTTCACGATTAACAAAAAGCTTCAAAGAGATCATTCGAAAACAGGCTTGAAAGAAAAGGTCGCTTATATGTAATGTTAAAGGCGGCTGGAAATTTTAAAAATTTGAGCAACGTCTAGAATCACGATATTGGACTGAAAAAAGGTGTTTAGAGAAGACTGAAAAGAAGAGAAAACAAAACGCACATAACCGCTCGATGACTTGTGAAAACAGGCATACCAGTTAGAAACTTGTGGCTTTCAGGTCAAACTTACTCACGAAAGCTCACGAGCTTCAATAAACCAACAAACGCTAAGGCGGTGAAACTTTACGCATAGCTAACTATGCAGTCGGTTAAAAGCGTCAAAAAAAAACCTGCAACTAAGACTCACGAAAATGTCACGTACGGGAAAAATATGAAAAATAGTTCATAATTGCTTTCGAAGTGCGTAAACGCATGGATTTTACGTCCACAAAATTTATCACGCCCCAGAACTCGTGTATACGAGGACTCCTGATGTCGTGATTTTTAAGAAAGGAATAATTGTATGAAATTCTGTATACGTACAATACACCGAAACGCACAAACGATACGGGAATTGCTATACAAAGTTCAAAAAAAACCAAACAAACAAAAAGTCATATACAACAACAATGCTGCAAGCAAAATATTTGCCGCGAATCAAAGCAATAGCACTACATCTAAATCTAAAATATAAAAAAAAATTATCCCATAAGACTCATCAGTAGTTTATCGAAGGAATCGTCAATTCGTCGACACCCTTCAATCATCAACCAAGTAACCAACCAACCAACCAACCAACGCATTTAAATGTTGCCCATCGACTCAGCGCTTGCTGCCAGCTCTGCCAAAGCATCGCACAGCTCTCCACCTTACACGCTGCGTTGCCGGCCAGCGCGCGGTACGGTCGCCGAACAACGCGCCACCAGCAACTTTGTGCTCATCACGCAGCATCAGCAGCCACAACAACAGCAGCAGCAGGATAACAAGGCTGGTGGCATGCGCGCAATGGATGAGGGCACCAAAGTCAGCACAACTTCTGTTAATATACACAGCTGCAATAGCAACAACAGTAGCCACAGCACGACGGTGAGCGCCAGCAGCAATGACAATCCGGGCGGGGGAAATGGTGGCGGCGGCCTTGCTGCAACGAGCTTTCGCAACAAAATGCCATCCATCTCGATTATACCATTGCCAGTCAGCAGCGCCGCTAGCTGCAGCGGTAGCAGCACAACCACCAGTGTGGTGCGTACTGTGACCACTTCGAATAAGGCCACTTCGCCACCACCGCTCTTCAACTCACCGCCAAGAAGCAATAACAACGGCTTTGCCTATAATAACAACGCTGCTAACGTGCAAACCCAACGCCCATTATTGCAACACCAATACCAGCAGACAGACAAGTGCACCATATTAAAATTTGATGTGCTACGCAAGCCATCTGCAGCAGCTGAGCTCCTGCCGCGCAATATCATCACCACAGCGTCAAAAACGCACGCGACTACAGCAAGCGCCCCGGCGACTGTCACGAGCGCTGTGACGTTTACCACGACTGCCGATCGTCGCCAGCAGCACTTGCAGGCATTGCAGCAATCCATCTTCGATCAGGAGATGTCCGATGATGCCGAAGCGGATGCGGAAATAGCTGCGCTACATCAGCAGGTGGTCGGCGGCGGCGGCGGCGGCGGCGGTGGCGGTGGCAGCAGCAGCATTGGTGCGGGCAGCCAACCGATTATCGTCAAGATCGAGCCAGCGCAATCCTTTCACATCGTTGATGAATCGGATACGCGCGTGCTGAGCTTACCGCTCTCGGATGCTGATAAAGTGGGCGCCAGTTGGATTGATCTCAAAGATATTGCCGGACTGCAGACCACCTCTGCCACGCTGGTGGATGTGTGCTTCGAATCGCCACCAGGTTTGTTGCCTGTTAGCAGCAATTCGTCAACTTCAACGAGCGGCGAGCAAGTGCTGCATACATCGGTGGATTCGGGTAGTATTGGCAATGCGCCGCCGGCTAAGAAGCGCCAGCTGGTTGTGAAACAGGTGCAAGTAGAGCAGCCGACTGCGACGGCAACTGCGATTGAGACTGTAATGACGCCTGCGACAGCTGTGACTGCAACGGCAACAGCTACGGTGTCCACAGCGTCTGCAACGGCTACCGTGACGCGACTCAGTTTGTCTGAGCGTAGTGTACCACAACAGCAACAGTCACAGCAATTGCAGCAGCAGCAACAACAGCAAAGTCAAAACAAGGGTACCACTACCACCAACACAACAACGGCAACGAGCGCGGGACTAACGCCTTCCTCATCGACGGGACTGAACGCCGGCGGAGCAATGACAGGTTAGTTTCTTAGCTATCTACTTATACGTTTGTTAGTATATAAGAACTCGTACTTCCTAAATTTATGAAGTAACTTAGGTGTTAGTAGCCGCCTAAACAGTCTCCAAAGCAGAGTATTGCACCATAGCACTATGTCTATTGCCTCGTTTCCATTATGCCAGTAGCATGCAAGTGCAGCGGGCCGGATTAGGAATTCTATTTCAGGTCATTTATAATCGGTATCCTGTGTTATGTCGAACGGCCATCAAGATATTGTACTACATTGCCCGATTTTTTTTTTTCACAAACCCATTTTTCTGAGTGTTATAGCAGACACTGCAGCGATGAACCTTATGTGAAGATTTATAGGAAATCATGCTGCTATAACATTTACTTTCAGTGCTCTATCTATTTTTTAGCAGGCCAGAAAGTCCTGGACTGTGTACCAGAACGTTAACAGCATTAGTTCTGCCTTTTCTGGGTTTAATTTAAGCCCATTTTCTCACCTCATTGGAAGATGTTTTCTAGAGTTTTTTTTCGATGGAGTTGCTCACCACAGATGGAAATAATACGGTAACTAAAATTAACACTTCATGGGTATTAGAGTGGTTCACAGATACATAGGAAAATCAACTTTTTGGAATTCCCTTGCTAACTTATTCTTCTTCTTTGGCGCTCTAACCGCCGCGTTCAACAAAGCGCGCCAGTCGTTTCTCTTCTGTGCAAACTGACGCCAATTGGAAATGTGAAACCAAGTTCTTCTCCCCTGGCTCTTTACATCGCAGTGGTGGCCTCCCTCTTCCTCTGCTAACACGAGCGGGTTCCGAGTTTCATACTTTCAGAGCTGAAGCGTCGGTGTCCATCCGAACGGCATGACTAAGCCAACGAAGCCGCTGAATTTCAATTCGTTGCACTATATCCAAATCGTTTTCAAGCTCATATAGCTCATCCGCTTTATCAGATGTTTACATTATCCTTATTATCATTATTATGGACTTTACGTCTCAATGGTCTACTCAGTCCAAAGTAGCACTTGTTGGCAAGAGTGATTCTACGTTAGATCTACAGGCTGACATTTTTATTGGTTCCCAAATAAACGAAGTCGTCTACTTTTTCAAACTTGTAACTGTCAACAGTGACGTGGGTACCAAGACGCGTATGCTCTGACTGTTTGTGTGATGACAGAACATGCCTCGATTTGTCCCCGGGTCTGGTGGTGACCCATTCGCTTTGGTTCTCTATTTAATCCCGAGAAGGCAGATAAGATGTAGCCCTTGTTTTCACCGATAATGTCAAAAGTGTCGGCATGCGCCAGCAATTGTATGCTCTTGTAGAGTATTGTGTCAGAGCGTTTCAGTTCTGCGGCTCTAATTCTATTCTCCAACATCAGATTAAAGAAATCACACAGCCGAATTAGATTCGCGTATTCGCGTTCCGACATCGCGGTTGTCGAAAGCGGCTTTGAAATCTACAAATAGATGGTGTTTGTCGATCCTATTCCAAGATTTAGCTATTGTGAATACCTGATCTATGGTGGATTTGCCAGGTCCAAAGCCACACTGATAAAGCCCAATCAGTTCGCTGACGTAGTCAGGAGGTGGAACATCCATTCCGTCATCATCGACTGGGGGTTCGGGTTTGTCCTGTCCACAGCTTTCAGTGCTGCTACCATTCAGTAGGATGGAAAAGTGTTCCCTCCCTAATTTATGTACGTTCTGAAAGTCAGTCACTAGGTCGCCATTGTTGTTCTTACAAGATTCACTCTGGTAAAATTGTCGGGCATATTTCCTGTCGGCTAGCATTTCAAGCTCTTCGAGTTCATTTATTTCGGCCTCTCTCTTCTTATTGCGGCAAATGCGTCTCGCTTCGCTCTTCAGCACCCTATAAAGGTCCCACATGTCTCGCGTTGCACCTGATCGCAGCGTGGGCCTATAGGCGGCATATTTTTCTCTGCAGCTTCTTGATACTCCTCATCGTGCCAGTTGTTCTTTCGGGCTAGCTGAAATCCGACTACTTCTTCGGCGGCGGCACTTATTGAACGGGAAATGTGGTTCCACTGTCCGCATATGGCGGTTTGTTGAAGAGTGCTCTCTGAGAGCAGGTGTGAGAGTCGCGAGGCGAATACATTGGCCGCCTGTTGTGGCTACAACTTTTCGACGTTAATCTTGCCTTGCATTTTTGGGCGCACATTTTTTGCTGCAAAGAGGCGAGTGCGTATTTTGACTGCAACAAGATAGTGGTCCGAGTCAATGTTTGTGCCTGGAAGTGTACGTATGTCCAACAGACTGGAAGCGTGCCTTCCGTCTATCACTACATGATCGATTTGGTTTCTCGTTTTTCGATCCGAAGACAGCCGCTAAGTTTGATGGATCTTGCTTACTGCTTGAACCTAGAACTGCATACTACCATGTTTCGGGTCCGGCGAAGTCGATCAGCCTCAATCCGTTGTCGGACGTTGCAAAGATCCCTTCCTTGCTCACCCTGGCAATGAGGCCGCCAAGCACGAATTTGATATCATGGCGGGGGAGTACTTCCTTCTTCTCTTGCTTTGATGCGGATGGTGGCGAGACGTTTATCCACCGGGCTGAATGACAGTACTCGGCGACGGGGTCACTCTCCTACCACAAATCCAACACCGAATTCGCGCTCCATTACATGACAGCTGTAGTAGACGTCGGAAGGCCCCTAGCATATCTTGCCTTTCCCCGTCCAATGCATGTCTTGGATGGCGGTGATGTCAGCCTTTGTCCTTACGTGAACATTAACCATTAAAGGTCCGGAAACTACAGGTGCATGCCTTCAAATCGTAGTTCTTTAAAAGTTTGCCGTCGTCGTCATCCAAAGGGGGTCTCATCCGAGGCTTTGTTTTTAGCCTTCACGTGGCGGGTCCCAAACCCAACGGACAACCGATTGCTGGCGCGGGGGCGCTTTCGCAACCGAATACACGTTTTTATAGCGAGCCGCATATACTGGTGAAGAGACACTGCAGACTTCAGTGAGCTCTTAGACCGAATAAGTCGGAGTGGCCCCAACTCTCTTTCTGCCGTGACCAAGGCTCCACTCGGATTGGATACCGCATCGCCCACATGGGTTGCTCACGTTGCCCAGAGAGCGCGCGCGAGGATGCAAGAGTCTGGATCAAGAATGATAGAATACAAGATTGCGCCGATCAGAGAGGATTGTTGAGAATAACTTTTGTGTGACGTCACACTGGTGCAATTGCGAGAGAGAAATGCCAAAACGTGAGCAAAAATGGAAGAAGAAGAAAAAATGTTGCAAGGAAAACGTAAACAAGTTGCACAAGTGTGACGTTATGCAAACAACGATTCTGTCAAATTCGTTAAGAGAGGAATAGCGGTCCGAGATCGGCGCAACCTTTGTATTCTCTCAATCGTGAGTCTGGATTGAGTATAGCCGTGAAACTGTAACTGCATACCCAGCACAACCATTATGCCCCATTATACTCCATTGATCTCTCAACTGCTCTAGTTAATACCCCATTAGGCGCTGTCTCAGCGAATCGTCCACGTAAATATGCATGTTGTGCCTCAGGCATACACACAATTGCCGCGCCGTGGGACATCCATGAGATGTGCGCTTGGAGAACCTTCTCGAAAGCTTTGAATAAGAACAAATAAGTTAACCTTCGTACACACATGGAGTATTATAATTCTTTACTTCTTCTTCTTAGTAAATGATTTCCGTTGCAGTTAATTATGACAAGTGAAAAATTTCTAAAAATTATCAAAACATATCTATGTAATCTTAAGCACCATTATTATTGACTAGCTGTAAATCAAAGTTAATTAAAAATATCATTTGCTACATGTGGCGCAAGAAGAAAATCGCTTTATCCGTTTAAATACCGTTCTAACCGTTCAACATTTTGCGCTAAATATAAGTTTAATGATTACCAAAAATTAACTTATAAATCGAAACTGTGTTGTGTATGCCATTTTGCCTACATATGTATGTATGTATGTATGTACTCGTATTGTTGTTGCAAACAAGATAATTGCAAAATCATCATCAACAGCAATAGCAAGATTAACATGCCATGGCTGCAATACAGCCCGCGGGGCGTTGGGTTCTTCATTGCAAAAAGTCAAGAACTGCAAAAGAACGTTTGTTTGTAACAGTACGTAATGCCAAGCAATTAACGAGAAAAAGAATTAACACATTCATAAGAACTTTGGCATCAAGAAATAAGCAACAAAAATTAGCTAACAGCAGAATGGAGTTTGTGCAGAAAAAAAGGAAGAAAAAGAAATCAACAAAGAGCAACAAATTAAGAACTGCAATTTCAACCTGTAAAATAACACACGTAATCGCAAAATCCCCAAGAACATTTCTCCATGTTCATTTACCTACATACATACATACATATGTACATATGTACATTTGTGTATGTTTGTATGCACAAGTGTGTGTATTCCCATATGTATGTATGTTTGTATGTTTTGGTATGAGTGCAAACATTTATTGGCTATTCACCTTTGCGTGGTGCGCTTTCAAGTGTCCCACTTTCCACACTGATCCAACTAAGTAATACGCGAACAACCGCAAGCAACAACACCAATAACCAATTGGCAAAAAAATTAGCAATGAATAAAAAACAAAAGATTAACCAACAACTAGCTAGCATTCACAGAACCAACACGTTCTAAGGCGCACACAGCCATACACACACACACCACACACACAAACGTTGGAAAACATAACTGCGCTAAGAAGCCGCTTCTTCGGCTTTTTAAGCTGCAACAATTCAAGCGACAGCTACAGCTTTGGCTGCGTCTTTGACTTCGACTACAACGACTTTGAGTTGATTTCTATATGGAGAGAACTTGGAAGTTGGGTTTTGGTGTGGTGCAGTTGTTGTTGCTGCTGCTGCTGCTGCTGCCTGCTGAGTTCGCTTGCTTGTGCAGGCCATGCTGTTACTTACTTACTTGATTAGTGTTGGTATTGGTGTTGGCTTTGGCTTTGGCTTTAACTTCGGCTCTGGCACATTGTTGAAGTTCTAT